GTATTACAGGTATCGTCGCAGGATGGAAGCAGTTCCTAATAAGGCCGCCTTTCGCAATTGACTAATAGCGAATTTGTCAATGCCAATGGTGTTCAAGTGGTGCTCCAGTTGTTTTGGGATTGCACCCAAGGAGCCTATTACTATTGGTACTACCCTTGCTTGCTTTTGCCACAGTCTTTCTATTTCTATTTGTAGGTCTTTGTAATTTGTTATCTTCTCCAGTTCTTTCTCGTCTATTCTGCTGTCTCCAGGCACTGCCACGTCCACTATCCAGACTTTTTTGTCTTTCTTATCGACAATTGTTAAGTCTGGGTGTTATGTTGCAGGTGCTTGTCTGTTTGAATTCTGAAGTCCCAGAGCAGTTTAATTTTATCATTTTCTATGACTTTCTCTATTTTATGATCCACCAGTTTTTGCTTACAGGCAAATGATATTTTTTGCAGATCTTCCAATGCACCATTGTTGCTACTTTGTCATGCCGCTGCTTGTAATCAGTCTGTGCAATCTTCTTGCAACAGCTTACCAAGTGGTCCACTGTTTCTTCAGCTTCTTTGCATAAGCGGCACTTACTGTCTGTTGCTGTCTTCTCAATTTTGACTTTGTATGCATTGTCCTTAAGGCTTGGTCTTGTGCAGCCAGAATTAGTCCCTCGGTCTCTTTCTTCAATTTTCCTGCTCTTAGCCATTGCCAGGTTTTATTATTATCTACTTTCCCAGCTATTTTTTTCATGTATTGGCCATGTAGTGCTTTGTCTTCCCATGCCTCTATTCTGTTCTTCATTGGTCTTTCTTGTAGGCCAGTTTGGTCTCTCCAGTAGTCAGTAAGCCTTCCTGATATACTAATTTCAGTGCATCTTCATCATTGTTCTTCAGATATTCTTCCAAAGCCATTTTTTCTTCTTCAACCATCTGATGTACTTGTAGCATTCCACGCCCACTATTTGCCTTGGTAGATAAAGTCTATCAATGTCACTGCGTGGATGAAGGGCATGATTCATTGTCATTATTTTTCTGGTCTGCCTATCTATTGCTTTTAGTTCTGCTTGAGTCCAGTCCACTATTCCAGCTGTGTACCTAATAACTGGGATTGCCCAAGTGTTGATTGCCTTTATGGTATTTCCTCCATTGAGTTTGGATTTTAAGATCTTCTTCACTCTCTTGATGTATTCACCTCTAATCTTTTTCTGGACTTCAGTGTGCTTGATGTTGTCAGCTTGAAGGATACCCAAGTATTTGTAGTATTCTTCCTCATCCAGACTCTTAATGTTATTTTCGTGGGGCATCTTGATTCCTTCAGTTTTCACTATTTTTCCGGGTTTGATAGTAAGTGTGGCACATTTGTCCAAGCCAAACTCCATTACAATATCTTGGCTATATATACGGACAGTGTTGAGCAGCGATTCTATTTCAGATGTTGTTTTTCCATACAGCTTCAGATCATCCATGTAAAGGAGGTGGGATAGTCTAGCAGATGTTTTTGATGTTTGATAACCATGTCCTGAGTTATTCATTATTGTTGACAGAGGAAACAGTGCAATAACAAATAGTAATGGTGATAATGAATCTCCTTCAAATATTCCTCTCTTGATATTAACCTCTCCCAGCTTCTCACCATTGATTTGCAACTGTGTCTTCCATTGTGCCATCGATCTTTGCACACATTTTCTGATGTTTCTACTGACTCCTGTTATTTCTAGGCACTTGATTATCCAGTCATGTGGCAGAGAGTCAAATGCCTTTTTGTAGTCAATCCATGCCACATTCAGGTTGGTCTTCCTTCTCTTGCAGTTTTCCAAGATCATTTTGTCTATTAGGAGTTGATCTTTTGTTCCTCTGCTGTTGGGGCGGTTTCCTTTCTGCTCAGGTGGAAAGAGATTGTTTTCAACTAGATGATGTTGCACTGCATCAGCTACTACACCAGTTAGTAATTTGAAAGTTGTTGGTAAGCAGGTAATTGGCCTGTAGTTACATGGTGTTGCCCCTTTTGCTGGATTTTTCATTATTAGGTAGGTTTTCCCAGTTGTTAGCCACTTTTCAATTTCTCAACCTTGTAGTATATTGTTGAACTGCTTGGCAATGAGTGGGTGTATAACAGTTAGATGTTTCAACCAAAACCCATGCAGTTCATCTTTACCTGGTGCTGACCAATTTTTGATTTTCCTTGCTCTTTTTTCTACCATTTTTGTTGTTATTACTAGTTCTTTCATTTCAACTTCTGTTTTATTTGCATCCACCTCTTTTAACCAAGCCGCATCCTTGTTGTATTCCTTTGGGTTATCCCATATCTGCTTCCAGAATTGCACTGTTTCTTCCTTGTCAGGTACTGACTGATTCCTTGCAGTTTCTCCATTGATGGATTGGTAGAAACATTTCTGATTGGATTGAAATTGGAGGTTCTGCCTATAGTTTGCAATTCGAGCTTCATATCTACTGATTTTCCTGGCTATAGCTGTTATATGTTGCTTTATTATTTCCAGTGCTTCCTTGATCTTCCTTGTTTCTAAGTGGTATTTCTTGATTAGGTATTCTTTGGTCTTCTTGTTCTTCAGCTTCTTTTCTTTCATCTGTTCTAGCTTGCTTGCATGTGATCTTAACTTGCTGATCTTATTTTCTAGTATAACCTTCCATTTTTCTGGTGCACTGTTTGTTTGTTTTTCTTCTTTGTTGATTTTGCATCCCAGGTATTCTGTTATAACTGCAGCTGTGCTGTACATAGTTGGTTTGTTTCTTGGAGTGAATTGGTGCTTATACTTGATATTGCAGTATTTGCATCTTTTAATGCTTGTGCTAGCTGTTTCTTTGGAACAAGCTTCAATGCAGGTAGCCTTATTCTGTTGTTTTTGTGCTGTTCTAGATGCTCAGTTATTCTTTGTTTCAATTCTTTTATTTCTTTAGTTAGAGGGTTTTGTTCTTCCTGAGGTAGAGGTGCCTGGTTTCCAAAGGAGAACAGTTGTATATCTCTGCTAGATTCCTTCACTGCCAACTCCCCCTGGTTTGCCTCTACATTCTGAATTACTTCTGGTAAGGCTTTGATTTCTTTGCCCTGGGTAAACCTTTGCAGTTCGTCCAATTCTGTTTCTGTAAATACTTTATTTCGTGTTATAAATCGGCGTTGATCTGCTAGTCTCTGTTCTGTTATTTATGATTCTGGATGTTGTTCTTTCCAGAATTGGTGCATTCGTTTTAGATATCCTCGTCTTGTTGGACTTGATCTGTAGTAACAGATCATTATTTCTTTGTTTTCCATCACGGTGTATCTGCGACGGGTAAACACCTTTTCTTCCAGTAGTTCTGCAGCTGCTGGCCCTGGTTGCTCAGCCAACAGTCCTGAGTCCTGTAACCCATTTTTCACCAGATATCCAGGAACTCCAATATCTAGTGCGGACCTTGTTAACCCGGGCGACGTCCGAGCCGGTATGGCATTCTGAAATTTACGTCTCACCATATTTTTTATGGGAGAGACACTCTTTGTCTGACTCCTCTGATGAGACCTGTCCAGTATGGTTGAACCTCTGGCATAGCTCTCATCTTCCTCAGAGTACACAAGCCCCACAACCACATCAAGGTAGTGCCTCTTCATCATTGTTCTTCAGATATTCTTCCAAAGCCATTTTTTCTTCTTCATATTATTATTATTATTATTATTATTATTATTATTATTATTATTATTATTATTATTGTGGTCGTAAATCAAGGACTGCCTGTAATCAGCTAAGAGAAATCTGGCTAAATAAAATGATCCCATAGAATCTATGAACCCTTCTTATTTTTTGAAAAAAACAAAACAAACCCCCCCCCTTATTCACAAAAATAACGAAACATTTTATTCTTCCCTCCAGCTAGCCTTTTCCGATCATTTTATCTGGAGTCTCACAATGAATAAAACATAACGCCTTAAAAAACAAATCAAAGCATTTATTGCTCAGGGAAAATATATATATATACACACACATACATATTTAGATTTCCTTTTCAAATAGGAAATGTATTATTGCCTTCAAGTATTCCGGAGCTGCTGGCTGGACTGAGCAGTGTGGAAGATGCAGACCAGCCCTCCCTTTTCGCACCCAGCATGATGCTGGGTGGAAACACCACCTTTGCAAAAGTGTGTTGGTGAAAATGAGACGATGGTGCGCAGCGCTGCCCCCCCCCCTCGCTTTGCCATCAGCGGGGAGGTTGAATCTCATACAAAGCGTAGCAAATCCCATTTGCAAATGGGGAAATAGCCTCAGGTCCTCCACTACTGTACCAATGGAGCTGGATTAATAAAAGTTTAGCTAGCATGAAGATCAGGTGAAGTGTTAATAGCACTTTATAATGCCCTGGTGAAACCACACTTGGAATACTGCATCCAATTTTGGTCGCCACAATTTAAAAATGAAGTCGAGACTCTAGAAAGACTGCAGAGAACAGCAATAAAGATGATTGGGGAGCTGGGGGCTAAAACATATGAGAAGCGGTTGCTGGAATTGGGTATGTCTAGCTTAATGAAGAGAAGGACTAGCAGTGTTTCAATATTTGAGGGGCTGCCACAAAGAAGAGGGGGGTCAACCTATTTTCCAAAAGCACCTGAAGGCAGGACAACAAGCAATGGATGGAAACTAACCAAGGAGAGAAGCAATCTAGAACTAAGGAGCAATTTCCTGATTGATTGAGAACAATCAATCAGTGGAACGTCTTGCCTTCAGAAGTTGTGGGTGCTGCAAGTTTTCAAGAAGAGATTTTATTTATTTTTATGTATATATTTATTTATATTCTGCTTATAGTTCTAATCTATCTATCTATCTATCTATCTATCTATCTATCTATCTATCTATTTCTCCATCCAATCATGCTGGAGAACAATCAATCAGTGGAACGTCTTGCCTTCAAAAGTTGTGGGTGCTGCAAGTTTTCAAGAAGAGATTTTATTTATTTTTATGTATATATTTATTTATATTCTGCTTATGGTTCTAATCTGTCTGTCTGTCTGTCTATCTCCTTCTGAGGAGCTTCCACCCATTGCTTCTTGTCCTATCCTCAAGTGCTTTGGAGAGCAAATGGACCCCCTCTTCCTTGTGGCAGCCCCTCAAATATTGGAAGACTGCTATCATGCCTCCCCTAAGCCTTCTTTTCATTAGGGCAGTCATACCTGGTTACCTTAGCAATTCATTGTAGGACAGCCTCCAGACCCGTTCATTTCTGTTGCTCTGTTCATCTCTGCCCTCTTTCTAAGCTGCCTCAGCTTCATTTGGGGAGAGTTCAGGAAAAGAGGCAACCCCATCCTTGCCCCAAATATTCTAATTTACTCTCATTCCAATGACATTAATATTGCCAGCTCTCAGAAGCTGGGCAGACCAGGATATGACCACAGCCGTCCATCACCAGAAGGAATTCTGGGAGCTGAAGTCCACAAGTCTTAAGGCTGAGGATTTCTGGGAGTTGAAGTCCACAAGTTTTAAGGCTAAGGAATTCTGGGAGTTGAAGTCCATAATCTTAAGGCTGAGGAATTCCAGGAGCTGACATCTACACATCTTAAGGCTGAGGAATTCTGGAAGTTGAAGTCCACAACAGACTTCCCCCTCCTCCAAAGACGGGTCTCATCTCCATTGGGCATACAGAACAGGGAGCCTCCATTTTTGCAGAGGACTTATGAGAAGGAAAGAGTCCTGGCTTCAATGGTCACCAGTCTCACAGTCTTAGTGGAACTGGGCAGCCAGACTGGCACTCTGTCCGGGGTCAGGCAATTCCTGAGAAAACGTCTAAGCAGCCTCCAAGGGCAGACCCCTTACTCTCCAGCTGGGATCATTCTCCAGGCTTTCTTTGTCAGCGGCTAGGGATCGTCCGACTGACCCACACCAAAGGGGGGAACAGAGCCACCATCTACTCTAGGGTGCCAACTTGGTGTCCAGCTTGTAGTGATGCTCAGGGAGGTTCCTCAAGCGTTCAGCGGCCTGTGAGGAGAGAGTAGCATGCAGGGAGGAGAAGAAGAAAAAAGTGAAAGCAGGGGCCTTTCTAGGCTGGCTGGCTGAGGAATTCTGGGAGTTGAAGTCCACAAGTCTTAAACATTTGGTGACCCCCCCCCCTTGGTCTATTACATCCCTTTCCCTTAAAGCTCTGCATTTGCTTAGCAACTTTAATATCCCCAAAGCAGTGTTTGGCCTCCAACTCTGAAGACTGGTAGCCACAGCCCAAAGGCTACACAAAGCCCCCGAGAACTGGAGAGTCCCCCTCCCAACCCTCAGCCTTCCCCTGCCCATTGCCACGGATGGGTTCAGCCATAAATGCCGAAACGTTAAACCTGAAAGGTCCTTGGTGGTCTCTTAGCTTGGTTGTTTTCTTGCAGATGTTTAATCCCCCAACTGGCACTGATGATCTTACCTAGTTGGGTCATGAAATGTCTGCAACAAACCAACCAAGCTCAGAGACCGCCAAGGACCTCACAGTTACAAATATTCTGCATTATTTTAAACTTCTTTCAAAGTCGGGTGGGCTACAGCCCCCGGCAGGAGTTACAGCCCATCTCCCAGCTCCCCCTCACCTGCTCCGGCGTCAGGTCCCTCTGGGCCTGAGCCAGCATCTCGTAGCCCACCATGAATTTACGAATGGTGGCGGAACGCAGCAGAGGAGGGTAGTAATGGGCGTGGAGCTGCCAGTGCCTGCAGTCGGCCTTCAGGTACGGCCCTGTGGGAGCTCCTATGGGGAAGAGGCAGCAAAGAGAGCAGAAGATCAGATCTTGGCAAAATGGGAGGCGAGTTGGATGCCAGCTATAATAGGATTTGCTCCCTGTGGCACAGAAAGGAAGGGAACAGCCAGGGTCAAAAGAGAATCCATTCACCCGGCATCCACGAGCTGCCTTCAAAGCAGAGGTGGGGGTCAACGCTGCTAACATCGGATCTTCTTGCTTTGACAACATATGGAGATGCAGCCATTTTCCTTCTTATGTTTTACTCTTAGAATTAGAGTTGGAATTAGATGATACTGGGGGGGGAGGAGGAATGTGCATAGGAGTTTAGTTAGATATAACAATACTGTAACTAGGGTGAGAACCAAGGTTTTTTGAAATAAGAGATGATAAGAAATGGGGGTTGGAGAACAGGAGGGAAAGCCTGCATTTCAAACTAATTGGAGAATGTGATTTATGACCGTTAATTAGAGGAGGGAATTGTGTTTTGATACTATGTGCTCAGGGGAGGGGGATTCAGATTTTGGCTTTGCTATGAACCTGCCGATGCTATGCTACTTGAATAAAGTTTCTTTAAGGTAAACCAATGCCTCGAAGTTCCTTGAAGAGTTTCATCTGTCAGAACCATGACATTAAGCCAGCTATGGCCCCTTTACGACCTGTGGATAGGATAGGATAGGATAGGATAGGATAGGATAGGATAGGATAGGATAGGATAGGATAGGACTGAAATGGAATGGAATAGAATAGAATAGAATAGAATAGAATAGAATAGAATAGAATAGAATAGAATAGAATAGAATAGAATAGAATAGAATAGGAGTGGAGTGGAGTAGGAGAGGGGAGGGGAGGGGAAGGGAGGGGAGGGGAGGGGGGGAAGAATAGAATAGAATAGAATAGAATAGAATAGAATAGAATAGAATAGAATAGAATAGAATAGAATAGAATAGAATAGGAGTGGAGTGGAGTGGAGTGGAGTGGAGTGGAGTAGGAGAGGGGAGGGGAGGGGAGGGGAAGGGAGGGGAGGGGAGGGGAAGAATAGAATAGAATAGAATAGAATAGAATAGAATAGAATAGAATAGAATAGAATAGAATAGAATAGAATAGAATAGAATAGAATAGAATAGAATAGAATAGAATAGAATGGGACAGGAATGGGATAGGATAGGATAGGATAGGATAGGATAGGATAGGATAGGATAGGATAGGATAGGATAGGATAGGATAGGACAGGACAGAATAGAACAGAATAAAACAGAATAAAACAGAATAGGAGAGAATAGGAGAGAAAAGAACAGAATAGAATAGAACAGAACATAATAGAATAAACATAGGATAGGATAGAACAGAATAGAGCCTGTGGAGATGCAAGAATTCCCACACCTAGAGAGCCAGATGTATCTCTGTAGAGCAGAGTTTCTCCACCTTGTGCACTTTTAAGACGTGTGGACTTCAGCTCCCAGAATTCCCTAGCTCCTGCTGAGCACTCTGGGACAGTGTTTCTCAACCACAGCCACTCGAAGATGTGTGGACTTCAATTCCCAGAATTCTCCAGTAAGCATAGCTGGCTGAGGAATTTTGGGAGTTGAAGTCTACAAGTCTTAAAAGTTGCCCAGGTTGGAGACTCCAGCTCTAAGCGAATGAGCTATAAGAGGGCCTTTCAACCTTTTCACCCATTGTACCACTTTTAGGATATGGCAATATCTGAGTACCACCAGTCGCCTAGCAAGGTGTCAAAAAGTTGATGACCAAAAAAAAAAGGAAAAAAGTGATAAAGTACAGGTAGTCCTCGACTTATAACAGTTCGCTTAGTGACTATTCGAAGTTACAATAACACTTTAAAAAGTGCCCCCCAAGTCACAGCCGAGCAAGACACCTGCCTGTCCGCCCGGCCATGCTCTTCCTCCTGTCTGAGGTTTTCATTGTTGTGAGCATTTCTGTTGAGGATTGGCAGTGGGGGTGGGATGGGGGGGTGTTTGGTTTTTATTCCCCCATCTGCTTGGTGGTTGCAGCAGGTTTTGGTCACTTCACATGACCCTGGGACACTGTGACCATCATAAATATGGATCAGCTGCCAAGCAACTGAATTTAAATCACAAGACCCTGGAGATGCTGCAACATTCCAGCTGATCGGCGCTTCTTCTGGGCTCAACAGAAGCACCAGGATCAGTGCCGAGCTCCAGCTGGTGCCTGGCGCTGATCCTGGCGCTTCTGCTGAGCCCTGACAGTCCTGAAGAGGCACCGATCAGCTGGAAAGTGGCGCTGATCCTGGCGCTTCCGCTGAGCCCTGACAGCCCTGCAGCTCCAGCCATCTCTCGCTCAGGCTTGTGCGGTGCTGCCATCGGTTCAGCTCATTTCCCTCCCCCGCTACCACTTTTCTAGGATGGTCGCGTACCACCTGCCAGGTGCCAGTGTACCACAGGTGGTACCGTACCACTGGTTGACAAGCCCTGAGCTATAATAGACCAGCATAGCTGGCTCAGGGCCTCTGGGAGTTGAAGTCCACAGGGGGTAAAGGGCTCAGGAGTTCTGGGAGTTGAAGTCCACAGGTTGTAAAGGGATCATAGTTGCCCAACCCTGCTCTAAGATGAGATGACCAAGCCCTCCGTTCTCCCTCTCAAAATCAGAGGGACTTCCCACTTCCCCAAGTGGAAGGCTGGTAGGTGAGATGGATAGCTGGTCTCCTCTGGATTTTGGGGAAGGGCCACTTTGAGGAGCATACCAAGGGTGGCACAAGCACCACCACGGTTACGCGAGCTGCCCCAGCTGCCAATCTGCTTCTGGGTTCGATTCAAGGGGTTGGTTATTGCCTTTAAAGCCCTCTGCGGTACAGGTCCAAGGTATCTGAGGAACCATCTCATCCCAATGGGACTGGCCTGCACCACCCAGGCTGGCAGGAGAGGCCTGCCAGAAGGGCCAGCCAAGAAATTTCAGCTGATGGATCCCACCCTTTGGAACACCTTGCCACCAGAGATGAAATCTGTCCCCTCTTCAGACTTTCCAGAAAAGCCTTAGAGCATGGGGACCTGAAGGAGAAGCTAGAAGTGGCTGGTGCAATAATAGTGATGGTAGCATTGCTGCCCCACTTAAAATCCATGGTCTTTGATTGATTAATTAACTGACTGACTGACTGACTGACTGAATGAATGAATGAATGAATGAATGAATGAATTTGCCATCCATCTCATAGCAAACTACACTGGGTGATCTTTTAGTCTGTTCGTCATCTTTTGTCACTTTAATCTGGTTTTATATTTATAATTTTTAATCAGTATGTTTTATTACACTGTAAGCCACCCAGAGTCGCCTCTAACTTTGAGAAAGAAAGAAAGAAAGAAAGAAAGAAAGAAAGAAAGAAAGAAAGAAAGAAAGAAAGAAAGAAAGAGGAAGGAAGGAAGGAAGGAAGGAAGGAAGGAAGGAAGGAAGGAAGGAAGGAAGGAAGGGAAGGGAAAGAAAGAGAGAGGAAGTGGTGAAGGAGGAAGAAAGGAAGAAAGGAAGGAAGGGAGGGAGGGAGGGAGGAAAGAAGGAAGGAAGGAAGAAAGGAGAAGAGAGAAAGGAGGGAGGGAAGGAGGAAGAAAGAAAGAAAAAGGAAGGAAGGAAGGAAGGAAGGAAGGAAGGAAGGAAGGAAGGAAGGAAGGAAGGAAGGAAGGAAGGAAGGAAGGGGGAGAGAAAGAAAGAGGAAGGAAGTGGTGAAGGAGGAAGAAAGGAAGGAAGGAAGAAAGAAGAGAGAAAGGAGGGAGGGAGGGAAGGAGGAAGAAAGAAAGAAAAAGGAAGGAAGGGAGGGAGGGAGGGAGGGAGGAGAGAGAAAGGAGGGAGGGAAGGAGGAAGAAAGAAAGAAAAATGAAGGAAGGAAGGGGGGAGAAAGAAAGAGAGAGGAAGGAAATGGTGAAGGAGGAAGAAAGAAAGGAAGGAAGGAAGGAGAAAGGAGGGAGGGAGGGAAGGAGGAAGAAAGAAAGAAAAAGGAAGGAAGGAAGGAAGGGAGGAAGGAAGGAAGGAAGGAAAGAAGGAAGAAGAGAGAAAGGAGGAAGGAAGGAGGAAGGAAAAAAGGAAGGAAGGAAGGAAGGAAGGAAGGAAGGAAGGAAGGAAGGAAGGAAGGAAGGAAGGAAGGGGGAGAGAAAGAAAGAGAGAGGAAGGAAGTGGTGAAGGAGGAAGGAAGGAAGGAAGGAAGGAAGGAAGGAAGGAAGGAAGGAAGGAAGGAAGGAGGGAGGGAAGGAGGAAGAAAGAAAAAGGAAGGAAGGAAGGAAGGAGAAGAGAGAAAGGAGGGAGGGAAGGAGGAAGAGAAAAAGGAAGGAAGGAAGGAAGGAAGGAAGGAAGGAAGGAAGGAAGGAAGGAAGGAAGGAAGGAAGGAAGGAAGGAAGGAAGGAAGGAAGGAAGGAAGGAAGGAAGGAAGGCAGGCTCCGATTCCTTTCCCCAATACTCACCATGCCAGCCCATTGAGTAAGGGAAGGAAACCTGGAACAGATTGTCGTATCGGCTGAGAAGCCTCTTCATGATGGATGCCAGGCCTGCAATGAAGGACACTCAAAGCAGTCAGCTGGTCTCCTGCACCTGCCAAGCCACCCCACAACCCCTCCAGCAGCTGGGCTGGATCCCCCAGCTCAAAGCTTCCCAATCTGCACAACTCTGCAAACTCCACTGGTGTCTCTTGCCATTCCAACCATCTGCCAAGGCTGAGCTGGAAAGGAGCAGAACCCTTTGTGCTACGGCCTCTCTTCAACCTGAATAGAGCTGCAATGGACCTTGGAGATCTTCTAGGCCAGGGGTAGGCCACCTTGGTTCTTTTATGACTCGTAGACTTCAACTCCCAGAATTCCTGAGCCAGCCATGCTGAGGGGAAATGGAGAGGTTTCCAAGCTGAGCCAGGCTGGCTCGGGAATTCTGGGCCAGCATGAGGCAAATTTTGGCCCCTTCATCAATTGTGGACTTCAATTCCCAGAATTCCTGAGCCATCATGAGGGAAACTTTGGTCCCTTCATGACTCGTGGACTTCAACTCCCAGAATTCCTGAGCCAGCCATGCTAAAGGGAAAGGGAGAGGTTTCCAAGCTGAGCCAGGCTGGCTCAGGAATTCTGGGAGTTGAAGTCCACAAGTCATAAAAGAGTCGAGGTTGCCTACCCCTGTTCTAGGCCAACCCCCTGCTCAAACAGGAGACCCTGTACCATTTCAGACCAATGGGTGTCCAATTCCTTCTTAAAAACATCCAGCCATGGAGCACCCACAACTTCTGAAGGCAAGTCGTTCCACTGTTTAATTGTTTCGTCGGGAAATTTCTCCTTAGTTCCAGGTTGCTTCTCTCCTTATTTTCCATCCGTTGCTTCTTGTCCTGCCTTCAGGTGCTTTGGAGAATAGGTGGAACCCCCCCCCCTCTTCTTTCTGGCAGCCCCTGAGTTATTGGAAGGCTGCTATCATGTCCCCCCTCGTCCTTCTTTTCATTAAACTAGACACACCCAATTCCCGCAACCGTTCTTCTCTCTTCTCTCCAACTGGCCAGGTTTTCCAGAGATAAAGATAGTAGCATGGCCCCCTGGGATGCCCCCTTTCTTCCTCCTTGGTTTTGGTTCCTACCACCCTTGGCACAGTCCAAGCAGATACTTGACCCAATAAAAGAGAATATTTGTTGCTTAGGGTTGAACTGTGGGGTCTGCGTTGGTGGGAGTCACCAGTATGTAAAAAGAGCAAAGCCCTTCCTTCTAGCATGGATGACATTCCCTAGATGGGTCATGAAATGTCTGCAAGGAAACCACCAAGCTCAGAGAACACTCACAGTCCTCCTTCCCCTCCTCTCTGCCAAACCCCCTTCCTTCTAGCACTGATGGGGTTGCCTAGTTGGGTAATGAAATGTCTGCCAGAAAAGAACCCAGCTCAAGAGAGCACTGAGGATCTCATAGATTTATTTATTTGAGACTTATATACCACTTTAAGTGCAAGCAGTCTCTAAGCGGTGTACACCAGTAAGCAATGTGTGTGTATATATATATATATATATATATATATATATATATATATATATATATATATATATATATTTACATTGCCCCCAACAATCTGGGTCCTCATTTTACCTACCCCAGAAGGATGGAAGGCTGAGTCAACCTTGAGCCGGTGAGATTTGAACCGCTGACCTGCAGAACACAGTCAGCTAAAGTGGCCTGCAGTACTGCACTCTAACTGCTGCGCCAACTTGGCGCTTGATCCTTGACCCACACACCCACTCCAAAACCCTCCTCCCTCCACCGGCCACAAGCTGGTCACTTACTGTCTCTCTCGCTCTCCTGGAGGTCCTCAAGTTGGCAGACATGTCGCCGAGGAAGCAAGAGAGTCTGGAAGGGCCACACTGCCCAGTAGGGCACCACTACCAGCCAGTCTGCATTTTCCACCACGATCCGCTCCTGCAAGGCACCCCCAGATCAGCCTAAGAGCCGGCATTCCCAAAAGGAGACTGGCCCCTACTTCCCCCATGGGCCAGAGGTCCCCCACCTTCCGCTCGGCCTCCAGCCGGGCATACTCAAGGAGCATGGGCACATTATTGTCTCGGTAGTACTTCCGTTGGGACTGGTCCTCCAGTGAGGCTTCGTTGGGCAGGAAGTTACTAGCCCAGATCTATAAAGAAGGGAAAGAGAGTTTCGAATGGAATTAGAATAGAATAGAATAGAATAGAATAGAATAGAATAGAATAGAATAGAATAGAAGAGAAGAGAATAGAATAGAATAGAATAGAAAAAATAAAGAAAATAGAGAATAGAATAATAGAATAATAGAATACAGAATAGAATAGAATAGAATAGAATAGAATAGAATAGAATATAATAGAAAAAATAAAGAAAATAGAGAATAGAATAATAGAATAATAGAATACAGAATAGAATAGAATAGAAAAAATAAAGAAAATAGAGAATAGAGTAAGAATAATAGAATACAGAACAGAACAGGAATAGAATAGAATAATAGAATACAGAATAGAATAGAATAGAATAGAATTAGAATAGAATAGAATAAAATTAGAATAGAATAGAATAGAATAGAATAGAATAGAATAGAATAGAATAGAATAGAATAGAATAGAATAGTAGAATACAGAATAGAATAATAGAATACAGATTAAAATAGAATACAGAACAGAGTAATAGAATACAGAACAAAACAGAAATAACTTTATTGTCACTTTAAATGCACACTAATCACCATACATTAAAATGAGTTAGAATGCCTTGGCAAGAACTAGGTATCTTTAATGAAAAGAAAGATTAGGGGATAACATGATGACATCCTTCCAATATTTGGGAGGTTTTTCAAAAATAGACCAGACAACCATTTGACTGGGTTGGTGTAAGGTTCCCTGTCTTGAGCAGGCTGGACTAGAAGACCTCAAGGTCCCTTCCAGCCCTAAAATTCTATGTTCTACAATTTTCAACCACACAAACAGCTCAATCTGGACTAGGAAACTTCATGATTGTGTCAGCCAGATAAGAGAGAGAGAGTGATTCGCAAGTGCACACTGCCACCCTGTGGCCCTGGAACACACACAAACACAAAGAACATGCTCTGTATAAGAATGTCTGCAGGCTGTCTGATTATAATATGAGCCCTTAAAATACCACAGAGGGAGGGAGGGAGGGAGGGAGGGATGAAGGAAGGAAGGAAGGAAGGAAGGAAGGAAGGAAGGAAGGAAGGAAGGAAGGAAGGAAGGAAGATGAGAAAGAGGGAGGGAGGGAGGGAGGGAGGGAGGAAGGAAGGAAGGAAGGAAGGAAGGAAGGAAGGAAGGAAGGAAGGAAGGAAGGAAGGAAGATGAGAAAGAGGGAGGGAGGAGGGAGGAAGGAAGGAAGGAAGGAAGGAAGGAAGGAAGGAAGGAAGGAAGGAAGGAGGAAGGAAGGGGATTTAGGCTCAGAGATACCCACTGACAGGGGAAGTTCGTCACGGCCAATTCCCCGCGGGACAACTCCCTGCAGGACAATTTAACAATTCAATTATTTAAAAGAAATAAAAAAAAACATTTTAATTTTTGTCATTCACATTTTGTTCTGTCCTTCCTTTTCCCTCCTTTCTTTAATGATTCTGTTCCACCATTTCTTTGATATTAGTGTAGCTCTTGTCCCGCAGCAAGTTGGCTATGGCAAATTGTCATAGTCCCAAAGGTTTGGTGCTCTCTGGGTTTGGGTGTTTTCTTCTGAATGTTTCAAGACCCAACTGAGTAACATCAGTGCTAGAAGAGAGTAGGGTTTGTGGAGAGGAGGAGGAGGAGGAGGAGGAGGAGGATGACTGTGGGGTCATTGGTGCCCTCTGAGCTTGGGTGTTTTCTTTCAAATGTTTCATGACCCAACTGAGTAATATCATCAGTGCTAGAAGGGAGAGAGGTGTGCAGGGAGGAGGAGGAGGAGGAGGAGGAGGAGGAGGAGGAGGAGGAGGAGGAGGAGGAGGAGGAGGAGGAGGAGGAGGACTGTAGGGTTCTTGGTGCTCTCTCTCTCTCTCTCAACTCTCGCAGTTGTATCACAATGAGTTAGCCGTGTCAATGTGCAAGATGACTTGTTCATCTTCCTAAGACTGCATTCTCTCAGGCTAATTGCTGGTTGCTATAGTCAATGCTCTAAAGTCTAGAAGTCCCAAAAGGCAACTGGATTTCTTTGGGGGGGGGGGTTGTTTGAAAATGTCTCTCTTCTCATCCAAGAAGTTTCTTCAGTTTTAACTACATAATTAATAGTTAGAACTGAGGAAGCTTCTTGGTTGAGAAGCGAAAGGTGTCCAGTTGCCTTTTGGGGAAAAAAAGCACCTTTGGGACAACCATTACCTGGAGGATTGAGACTCTCTATAGACATTTAGACTCTAGAAAGGCTGCAGAGAAGAGCAACAAAGACGATTAGGGGGACTGGAGGCTAAAACATATGAAGAACGGTTGCAGGAATTGGGTATTGTCCAGTCAAATGAAAAGAAGGACTAAGGATGCTCTCTCTGAGCTGGCTTGTTTCCTTGCAGACATTTCATTACCCAAACTAAGTGACATCATCGATGCTAGACAAATAAAATAAATAAAAGACAATTTGTCTAAGGGGAAAACTTCTTTACCCTTACTCTGTATCTTGCAAAGAGCAGACACCTTGGAAAACTAATCCTTACCTACCCACCCTCCCATTTCAGAAAGAAATTGACCTTACCTGTCAGGCTTCAAAAAAGAAAAAAAAAAATGAAACAGAAGCTCCTTTGAAGTCTCTTGATCAAAGGGCCCAAGACAAGCATCTCAGTCCAAACCGCAAAAAGCACGGAATTTAACAAAAACGCTAGGAATAACCTTAGGAATAATTTATGCCCTGCCCTGCCCTTCGACTCTGGATAGTTTAGGCTTCAAACCTCAGCACACTGGAGAGGCTTTAATGATTTTTTTTTTTAAACCGTCAAATGTCTAGATAAGTTTTTTTTTAAAGTTTTTTAAAAAAGAGTTGAGGAAGTTACATTTGGAGAAAGTTTAACCGAAACTCTAGCTCGATGTTTCTTAACCTTGGCGACTTGAAGATGGGCGGACTTCAATTCCCAGAATTCCCCAGCCAGCCATGCTGACTGGGAAATTCTGAGAGTTGAAGCCAATACATCTTCGAGTCGCCAAGGTTGAGAAACTTTGGGCTAGCCCAAGGGTAGGCCACCTTGGCTCTTTTATGACTCGTGGACTTCAACTCCCAGAATTCCTGAGCCAGCCACGCTGAGGGGAAAGGGAGAGGTTTCCAAGCTGAGCCATGCTGGCCCAGGAATTCTGGGCCAGCATGAGGTAAATTTTGGCCCCTTCATGACTTGTGGATTTCAATTCCCAGAATTCCTGAGCCAGCATGAGGGAAACTTTGGTCCCTTCATGACTCGTGGACTTCAACTCCCAGAATTCCTGAGCCAGCATAGCTCAGCTTGGAAACCTCTCCTGGCAATGGCTAAGAGCAGGAAAATTGAAGAAAGAGACCGAGGGACTAATTCTGGCTGCACAAGACCAAGCCTTAAGGACAAATGCATACAAAGTCAAAATTGAGAAGACAGCAACAGACAGTAAGTGCCGCCTATGCAAAGAAGCTGAAGAAACAGTGGACCACCTGGTAAGCTGTTGCAAGAAGATTGCACAGACTGACTACAAGCAGCGGCATGACAAGTAGCAACAATGGTGCATTGGAAGATCTGCAAAAAATATCATTTGCCTGTAAGTGAAAACTGGTGGGATCATAAAATAGAGAAAGTCATAGAAAATGATAAAATTAAACTGCTTTGGGACTTCAGAATTCAAACAGACAAGCACCTGCAACATAACACCCCAGACTTAACAATTGTCGATAAGAAAGACAAAAAAGTCTGGATAGTGGATCTGGCAGTGCCTGGAGACAGCAGAATAGAAGAGAAAGAGCTGGAGAAGATAACAAAATATAAAGACATAGAAATAGAAAGACTGTGGCAAAAGCAAGCAAGGGTAGTACCAATAGTAATAGGTGCCTTGGGTGCAATCCCAAAACAACTGGAGCACCACTTGAACACCATTGGCATTGACAAATTCGCCATTAGTCAATTGCAAAAGGCAGCCTTACTAAGAACTGCTTCCATCCTGCAACGATATCTGTAATAACATTAAACATCCACATCTGCCTATCCCAGGTCCTGGGTAAGGACTCGATAGGCAGACAAAATGCCAAATCCAGTCTGAACATCTGGCTAACTGTGCAATGATCCATAATAATAATAATAGTTGGAAGGGACCTTGAAGGTCTTCTAGTCCAGGGCTTTTCAACCAGTGGTACGGGTACCACCTGTGGTACATTGGCACCTGGCAGGTGGTACGCGACCATCCTAGAAAAGTGGTAGCGGGGGAGGGGAATGAGCTGTACCGGTGGCAGTGGCAGCACCGCACAAGTCTGAGCGAGAGATGGCTGGAGCTGCAGGGCTGTCAGGGCTCAGCAGAAGCGCCAGGATCAGCGCCAGGATCAGCGCCAGGCTCCAGCTGGAGTTCGGCGCTGATCCTGGTGCTTCTGCTGAGCCCTGAAGAAGCACCAATCAGCTGGAATGTTGCAGCATCTCCAGGGTCTTGTGATTTACATTCAGATGCTTGGCAGCTGATCCATATTTATAACGGTCACAGTGTCCCAGAGTCATGTGAAGTGACCAAAACCTGCTGCAACCACCCAGCAGACGGGGGGAATAAAAATTAAACACCCCCCCCACTCCACCTCCACTGCCAATCCTCAACAGAAATGCTCACAACAATGAAAACCTCGGACAGGAGGAAGAGCGCGGCTGGATGGGCAGGCAGGTGTCTTGCTCGGCTGTGGCTTGGGGGGCACTTTTTTCAGTACCATTGTAACTTTGAATAGTCACTAAGCGAACTGTTATAAGTCGAGGACTACCTGCACTTTATCACTTTTTTCCTTTTGGGGGGGGGTCATCATGTTTTTGACACCTTGTTAGGTGACTGGTGGTACTAGGATACTGCCATATCTTAAAAGTGGTACAATGGGTGAAAAGGTTGAAAAGCCCTGTTCTAGTCCAACCCCCTGCTCAGGCAGGAAACCCTATACTATTTCGGACAAATGGCTGTCCAGTCTCTTCTTAAAAACTTCCAGTGTTGGAGCATTCACCGCTTCTGGAGGCAGGTTGTTCCACTGGTTAATTGTTCTAACTGTCAGGAAGTTTCTCCTTAGTTCTAGGTTGCTTCTCTCCTTAGTTAGTTTCCATCCATTGCTTCTTGTCCTGCCTTCAGGCGCTTTGGAGAATAGCTTGACTCCCTCTTCTTTGGGGCAGTCCCTGAGATATTGGAACACTGCTATCATGTCCCCCCTCCTCCTTCTCTTCGTTAAACTAGACATACCCAATTCTAGCAACTGTTCTTTACATGTTTTAGCCTCCAATCCCCTGATCATCTTTGTTGCTCTTCTCTGCATTCTTTCTAGAGTCTCAGCATCTTTTTTATATTGTGGTGACCAAGACTGGATGCAGTATTCCAAGTGTGGCCTTACCAAGGCATTATAAACTGGTAATAACACTTCATGTGGTTTCAGTCTATCCCTCTGCTAATGCAGCCTAGCACTGTGCTGGCTTTTTTGGCAGTTGCAGCACACAGCTGGCTCATATCTAAGTGATTGTCCACTAGGACTCTGAGATCCCTCTCACAGTTGCGACTATTGAGCAAGGTACCCCCTATACTATACCTGTGCATTCGGTTTTTCTTCCCTAAATGTAAGCCGAGGACTACCTGTAATTCATAGGGAAACGCCATGCAGAATGCAGCAAATCCTCAAGAGTAGCAGTCCACAACCTTTGTGGCTTAGTGGCGTGACTGGGGGAGGGGAGGAGAATTGGCCACACAAGCAGCAGGCCAATGCACATGTGGATGAGTGCCTGCCAGCTGCCGCTCACACGTCAACCTGCACACACGCACACACACACTCCAGCCAGGCATTTGTGACGCCTAATGTTGAATAGGCCACAGCTGGGTAGTGGGCTATGTCTCCGGGGTTGGAGACCCCCTGCTCAAGAGCCCAGAAAACATCTCCTGATAATCAGACTTCGGGTAATAGCTCTGTTGCTAAATTCAGGGAGAGAATCTCCTTACCTGACAATGAGGGTGGGAATTCGAACAGCCCATCATGGCTCCCTTGTTCTCAAAGATCTGTAAACCAAAAACATGGAGACAAGGAGACGAACAAACAAACAAAAACCAACAGGATTGTTTGGCTTACACCAAGGGTCCTCAAACTTGCCAACGTTAAGACTTGTGGACTTCAGCTCCCAGAATTCCTCGGCCAACTTTAAGACTTGTGGACTTCAGCTCCCAGAATCCCTCAGCCTGAAACTTTAAGACTTGTGGACTTCAACTCCCAGAACTCCCAGGCTGGCTGCAGAATTCTGGGAGTTGAAGTCCACAAGTCTTAAAGTTGCCAGGATTGGAGACCCCTGGTGAACACAGCAGAAGTGAAGAAGTGTTTGCAACCCCTTTTTTCAACTCATGTGTTTGAGTCAAAGGTCTCAGCTTTTGTGAAGTCAACTCTCTTCATCACGTGAGTGGCTAGACCAAAGTTTCTCTCTATATCTAACTGCACTAAGATTGGTTGGTTTTTCCTTATCCATTCATATCTGACTCTCGGGGGCAGTGCCCATCTCTGTTTCTTAGTCGAGGACCCAGTGCTTTCCAAAGAATTTTCCATGGTGATGTGGCCAGCATGAGACCACGCTGCAATGCAGAACACTGTTACCTTCCCACCGATATGGTACCTACTGATCTACTCACATTGGCATGCTTTCGAACTGGTGGGCAGAAGCTAGAGCGAAGAACGGGAGCTCACCCCTTTGCATGGAGCTCAGCCTATCAGCTTTGCAGCTGATAAAAACTCAGCATCCTTAACAGCTGAGCCATCATGTCACCTTGCATTAACAGTATCAAAATTTAAGAGAGAAAGGGAGAAAGAGAGAAAGAAAGAAAGAAAGAAAGAAAGAAAGAAAGAAAGAAAGAAAGGAAAGAAAGGAAGGAAAGAAAGAAAGAAAGAAGGAAGGAAGGAAGGAAGGAAGGAAGGAGGGAGGAAGGGGAAGGAAAAAGAAAAGAAAAAGAAAAAAGAAAAGGAAGAAAAAGAAAGAAATAGAAGAAAAAAGAAAAAAGAAAGGGAGAGAGAGAAAGAAGGAAAAGAAAAAAGAAAAGAAAAGGAAGAGAGAAGCGCAGGGTAATGGAAAGAGAGAGAGAGGAGGAGGAGGAGAAAGAAAAGAAAAGAAAAGAAAGGAAGGAAAAAAGAAAAGGAAGAAGGGAGAGAGAAAGAAAAAAGAAAGTAAGAAAGAGAAGAGAAAAGAAAAGAAAAAGACAAGAAAAGAAAAGGAAAGGAAGGAAGGAAGGAAGGAAGGAAGGAAGGAAGGAAGGAAGGAAGGGGAGGAGGAGGAAGAAGGGTGGGAGAATGAAAGGAAGGATTTCCAACTCTCTTCAGCATAGTAAAATAAAGTTAATAAAATTACAACTTAGACTTTTGCAGAAATATTCTTGCCATTTCTATAATAACAAATTTATCTAAGCAGCAAATCCCAGAGTCAAAATTTCATTGTCTTTTCTGTCTAGAATGTTGGACTCTGACAGAGAACACAAAGATTAGAAGCAGTTTCCAAGTAGACATGAAACTCCATGTGTTCTTTTCTTGGATTAAAGCAGTTAAATTGGACCATTTCTGAAAGTTCCACCAGTTTTTCAAACCATTCTTCCATTGTGGGAAACTGGACCAGTGTTTCTCGACCTCAGACACTTCAACTCCCAGAATGCCCCAGCCACCCAGCCAGCCAGCGTGCTAAGGTTGAAAAACACTGGACCACATTGATGTAGGGTTTAAACTGGGCAAGGCAGAGGAAACGCTGGACCATGATTCCATGCAGAGATGCTCACCTGCACCCAGGTGTAAGAGGCACCCAACTCGACTGCTATCTCTGCCCACTTGTCAATCACCCTGCGGATCTCAGCAAGCGACATCAGCGGCAGAGTCAGGTCAGTCCAGGGATGGAAGCACATGACTTTGCTGGGGAGAAGAGAGGAAGGAACCAAACGAGTACAAGCAAGAACAGAAAGCCCTCCCTGAATACCATCGAAGGAGAGAGATGACCCACATCCTAAAGAAGAGAAAGGTTTAAGCAGGAAAGGAGCGCCAATCCATCCCCAGGATATTTGGTTCCTGTGGGGTCCTTGGTGCTCTTTTCAGCTTGGTTGTCTTCTTGCAGATGTTTCATTGTCCAACTATGGTAGGTAAAATCATTTAGTGCTAGAAAGGAGAGGAGGAGGGGGGGAGAGGGAAGGGGGAGGGGGAGAAGGGGGAGGAGTCCTTGGTGCTCTTTGAGCTTGGTTGTTTTGTTACAGACATTTCATGACCCAACTAGGTAATATCATAAGTTCTAGACAGGAGTGGGCTGTGTTAAGAGGAAGAGGAGGAGGAGGAGGAGGAGGAGGAGGAGGAGGAGGAGGAGGAGGAGGAGGAGGAGGAGGAGGAGGAGGAGGAGGAGGAGGCATCCTTGGTGGTGTCTGAGCTTCCTTGTTTCCTTGCAGACATTTCATGACCCAACTAGTTAATATCATAAGTTCTAGACAGGAGTGGGCTGTGTTAGAAGGAGGAGGAGGAGGAGGAGGCAGCATCCTTGGTGGTGTCTGAGCTTCGTTGTTTCCTTGCAGACATTTCATGACCCAACTAGGTAACCTCGTCAGTGCCAGAAGGGAGTGAGATTTATGGAGAGGAGGAGGAGGAGGCAGCATCCTGGGTGGTGTCTGAGCTTCATTGTTTCCTTGCAGACATTTCATGACCCAACTAATTAATATCATAAGTTCTAGACAGGAGTGGGCTGTGTTAGAAGGAGGAGGAGGAGGAGGAGGAGGAGGAGGAGGAGGAGGAGGAGGAGGAGGAGGAGGAGGAGGAGGAGGAGGCATCCTTGGTGGTGTCTGAGCTTCCTTGTTTCCTTGCAGACATTTCATGACCCAACTAGGTAACCTCGTCAGTGCCAGAAGGGAGTGAGGTTTATGGAGAGGAGGAGGAGGAGGAGGAGGAGGAGGAGGAGGAGGAGGAGGAGGAGGAGGAGGAGGTGGAACAACGACTATAAGTTCCTTAGTGCTGGCTCAGGAATTCTAAGAGCTGAAGTCCACAAATCGTAAAAGGGGCCCTAGTTGCCCACCCTTGCTCTAGACTAGAGAAATGATTTTCTCTCCTTTGAAAAATGAAAGCCAAGCCAGAAAGTACAAGATTACGAAGAACTCCACAGAGGAAAACAATTTCTCCGAGGGGTGGGAACATGTTAGCAAGATGGAAACACAGAAGGAACCCGTGCCAATGTGTTGACCTTGAAATCCTCAGTACGTTTTATAGAAACTGCTATGGCAATGTAACTTTATATATTTCTTTTTATTAAGATAATAACTCTTTGTTGAAGAAAGAGACAGGAGATGGGCAGGGAAGAAACTTGAGGCTTGCTAATCAGGTAAATTCATGGTGGTGCCCTCTATTATTCATGCATACATAGGATTGTCATTTTCCCCTCCTTTCCAAAAACATACCCAGGTAGTCCTGACTTACTACCTCAATTAGGGCCCACATTTCAGTTGCTAAGTGAAACGGTTAAGTGAGTTTTGCCCCCATTTTACGACCTTTCTTGCCACCGTTGTTAAGTGAATCACCACAGTTGTTAAGTGAATAACACAGTTCTTCAGTGAATCTCGTTCAAGGTCGCAAAAGGGGATCATGTGACCCTGGGACGCTGTGACCGTCATAAATCTGAGTCAATTGCCAAGTGGCCGAATTAGGACCATGTGACCCTGGGGCTGCTGCAATGGTGGTCAAGTGTGCAATGCAGTTGTAACTTTGGTCACTAAATGAATAATCGTTAAGTCAAGGACTTCCCCTATTTGGGATTAGGCTCCTGCGTTTGATTCCGCAGTTGCAATCAGGAAGCAACAGCTGAAAGCTATTCCCACCCCACCATGTGGTTAATGAGACTTAGCTCAGACAAGGGGCACACTAGACTTACCACACGCCTCGAGCTGACGCTGAACGGAACAAGGGATGGTCGTCAGCCTCTGCAGGAGAAGAAAATTCATCAGCTAGAAAAGATCCAGGTGTCCCCACAGGCACAGAAACCTCCAAGTGGCCTCAACAACTCTCAGAGAGAGCACTAACGACCAGATGACTGCAAGGAATATAAATCGTTCTATCCTATACTAAAAAGTAGAGACATCACCCTGACAACAAAAGTGCGTATAGTCCAGGCCATGGTTTTCCCAGTTGCAATGTATGGCTGTGAAAGTTGGACCATAAGAAAGGCTCAGCGCCAAAGAATTGAGGCCTTTGAACTATGGTGCTGGAGAAGACTCCTGTGTGTCCTCTGGACTGCAAGGCGATCAAACCGGTCAGTCCTAGAGGAGATCAACCCTAATTGCTCTTTAGAAGGCCAGATCCTGAAGCTGAAACTCAAGTACTCTGGCCACCTAATGAGAAGGAAGGACTCATTGGAGAAGAGCCTAATGCTGGGAAAGATTGAGGGCAAGAGAAGAAGGGGACGACAGAGAATGAGGTGGCTGGATGGAGTCACTGAAGCAGTAGGTGTGAACTTAAATGGACTCCAGAAGATGGTAGAGGACAGGAAGGCCTGGAGGAACGTCGCGATGGGTCGGACTTGACTTCGCAACTAACAACATCCTCCACCATTCAGTCAGAACTGAAGAAGCTTCTTGGATGAGTGTGTATGGAGATTCTCCATCATCCAGGTCATGGGTGTCCCAAAGGTGCCTTTTCAGGAGGCAACTGGACTTCCTTTTTTTTCTTTGAAGACATTTCGCTTCTCATCCAAGAAGATTCTTCAACTCTGAATGGATGGTGGGGAATGGAAGGATTTATACTCCTTTCAGACAGCTGGTCATTTGCATTCTTTTAGACACTCATTGAAGCCATTTGGAGGTTTACCTGTATCCTGAGGGTCACCTGAGTGGTGCAAATGGGCGTGGAGCCTTCTTGACTGCAGGATGTTTTCTGCCCTGGGTCGTTTCCCTGTTGAAGACAGGCGCAGGCTGTTGGGGATGAGTCTGTGCTGTCTGTATCTTTAACCGAAGTGTAAATGGTTCCTGTAGTCTGCAATGTTTTCTGGAAACATTTGCGCTTCAGTTTGAGATGTACTTGTCTTCAAATGTTCACTAAACAAATGACTGTAAATCAAGGACTATCTTCTTCTTCTTCTTCTTCTTCTTCTTCTTCTTCTTCTTCTTCTTCTTCTTCTTTTCTCTCTCTCTCTCTCTCTCTCTCTCTCTCTCTCTCTCTCTCTCTCTCTCTCTCTCTCTCTCTCTCTCTCTCTCTCTCTCTCTCTCTCTGACACACACACACACACACAAGCAAACATATTTAAAGTAGCTATGTAAATAGGATTAATAACATCGTTTTTTTGTTCAGTCTCATTCCAAAGTACAATTTCCCTGTAGCTTCTGAAGGACAAGGAGGGAGGCAACCCATGGCCCTGGGACCATCAAGCCTCCATTCTTGGCTTAGTCAAGAAGAAAGGAACTCTTACCAGGCTCTGGGGCATCTGGCTGCAATGCAGGAAAATCATTGTCAAAGACAAATGTGCTCTCATAGTGGGGGTTTACCTGCATGAGATAAACAGAGACACCAAGATATTGTATAACTGTATAACAAACTAAGAGCAACAAGGACAATCAGGGAACTGGAGGCCAAAAGATATAAGGAACGGTTGCTGGAATTGGGTATGTTTAGTTTAATGAAAAGAAGAAATAGGGGGGGACATGATAGCAGTCTTCCAATATCTCAGGGGCTGCCCCAAAGAAGAGGGAGTCAAGCTATTCTCCAAAGTACCAGAAGGCGGGACAAGAAGCAACAGATGGAAACCAATCAAGGAGAGAAGCAACCTAGAACTAAGGAGAAACTTCCTGACAGTTAGAACAATTAACCAGTGGAACAACCTGCCTCCAGAAGTGGTGAATGCTCCAACACTGCAAGTTTTTAAGAAGAGACTGAACAGCCATTTGTCTGAAATGGTATAGAGCAGTGGTTCTCAACCTGTGGGTCGGGACCCCATTTGGGGTCAAATGACCATTTCACGGGGGTCACCAAACAACACAGTCTGCCAATAGAATAGAATAGAGTCTAATTCTATTGGTTTTCAAAAGCCAATAGGAATTGTCCAGACTGTCTCTGCCCTGCTGAGCCCGCCAAAAAGTCCCATTCTGCAAATGGTGCTGCACCAGTTGAGTAGTCCTCGACTTACGACCGGTTGGGGGTCGCAGCATTAAAAAGGTTGAGAACCACTGGTATAGGGTTTTCTGCCTGAGCAGGGGGTTGGACTAGATGACCTCCAAGGTCCCTTCCAACTTTTTTGTTATTATCAACTTCTCTCTCATTCCAACCCCATCTTTGAAAAACACCACCATGTATGCCGGCATCGTCAATGTCATACAGATTGTGGGTGGCTTAAAAATCAGGAGCCTCTGAGTCATAGTCCCACCTTAAGCATGAAAGTTGGCTTTGTGATTTTGGACCAGTCACCAGGAGATGGTGAGTTCTAGTCCCAGCTAACGCAGGGAAGCGGCTGGGTGACCATGGGCTAACCACTCTCTTGCAGCCCAGCCCACCTCTCAGGGCGAAAGTTGTGGGGCAAATAGGAGGAAAGATTAGTGAACCATTGGGCTAGAGTAGAAGACCTCCAAGGTCCCTTCTAGTCTTATAATTCCATGATTCTACTTGATCTGTTCACCACCTTCAGTTATTTATAAAATAATAAATATGGGACAAAATCTACCTAATAAATAAAATAGTAACGTAAAGTACAAGCTCTGAAATCCTTCAGGGGGCTACCCAGATGCCAGGATTATGTCCTCCAAGGAAAGAAGCTCCAGAAGGAAAAAGGGCCAAGCAAACGCCGGACACAAAATGGATTGTTGGGTGGAGGAGGAAGCAGAGATCTGGACCCCAGGATTCCCACTGACTTGCCCTGCCCTGCCCTGCCCTGCCCTGCCCTGCCCTGCCCTCCAGGCCGCCCACCTGGCCGATCGCTCGCGTGGCCCCTGGACACAAAGGGTTGGATGGGTCGTGGCGTGGGGGCTCCTCCTCAGGGGGCTTCTCCACCTGCCCTTGCCAGGGGCGCCGCATACGGTGGGCAGAGACCAGCACCCAGTCCTCCCGCAGCGGGTTGTAGCGCAGGTGCTGGTGCTCTGGAGAAGAGATGCGGGTGGTTAGGCTGGAAGGGGTCCCACTAGGTGACCAAGGGCCACGCCAGGGGGGCCACAGCCCCATCCCAGCAACAGGGCCCACCTGTACAAAATAGCCCAACCTCCAGCAACTAGACCCCCTCCCAGCAATAAGCCCCATCACCTTAGAACAGGGGTAGGCAACCTTGGCTCTTTTATGACTCGTGGACTTCAACTCCCAGAATTCCTCAGCCAGCCATGCTGAGGGGAAAGGAAGAGGTTTCCAAGCAGAGCCATGCTGGCTCAGGAATTCTGGGAGTTGAAGTCCACGAGTCATAAAAGAGTCAAGGTTGCCTACTCCTGCCTTAGAATAACCACTCCACCCCAGCAACAGATCCCACCTACCCAGAATAGCCCTGCCCTCAGTAAGACCCTACCCCTCTGGGCTAACCCCTCCTCCACAGCAGTAAGCCCCGCCCCTCCAGAATAACCCTACACCAAGGCCTCACCCCTCTGGGCTAGCCCCTCCTCCCCAGCAACAGGCCCCGCCCCCAGGATAGCCCCACCTTCTGAGCAACAGGGCCCGTCCATTGAAAAAACAGATCCACTCGCTCCACCTCCCCACGAGAAAGCCCCTCCCCTCCCCGGCAGCCTCCGCCCCTTTGCAAGAAGCGGGGTGCGCCTCCCCAGTCTTCTCCTCCTCTTCCCCCTATCAAGAGGAAGCCGCCTCCCCACATGAAGCAACTCCCTCGCCCGGTCGGTTTAGATAGCGCGCCCCCCCCCCCAGTTGCCCCGCGGGGCGGGGGGAGGCGGCGTTGGTACCACTGGGCTGGAACTTGGCAGCTGCCTCCATGCCTTCCGCCTTTCCGCGATCACGTGACCTTCAGAGGGTGGGGTGAGACTGAGGAAGGGCGAGGTCACCGCCTCGCGCGCGATTGGCGGCCTGGCATGACGCAACGAGCGCGGAGAGGCGGAGCCGACCATCGCTGACGCGGTCGCTCATTGGCTCCGTCGATTGGCGGTTAGGGCGGCGAGGGCCGCGATTGGCCAGGCGCCCAGCGCGCGCCGCGTGCCCTTGGCAGGGCCCCTGAGGCGGGTGGTCTTCTCTCGCGTCCCCTAAAAGGCGGCGGCGGCGGCGGCGGCGGCTGGACAGGCGGGAGAGGCGCGAGGATGCAGTGGCTGCCCGGGCTGGGCTCGAGCTGGGCCGGCCGGGGCCTGCGGCTGGGGCTGGTGGTGGCGGCGGCTGCGCTGCTGATCCAGGGGCTGCGCGGCTGGGCCTCCTCGCGGCGCTTCGAGTTCGACCCGGAGGAGATCGCGCGCCTGGGCAAGCACCACGCCGGTGAGGGCAGGGAGAGGGGGCTCCATCCCCCATGGTGCCCCGCGAGAGGTGGAGAGGTGGTGCGGGCGGATTCCAGGGTCCATGAGGCGCTGGGAATTCCAGTCTCCATGGTGCTCGGCGGAGTGCAGGGGAAGTGGAGCAGGGTGGATTCCAGTCTCCACGGTGCTCGGCGGAGTGCAGGGGAAGTGGAGCAGGTGTCCATGATGCTCAGCGAGGCGCTGGGGACGGGGTGTGGACGGACTCCAGTCCCCATGGGGTTCAGGAAGCCATGGGGAGCGCTTGAGGGTGAGCTCCAGTCCCCGGGATGCTCAATAAGGTTCCAAGGAAGGGATTCCAATCTCCATGGTGCTCTGGGGAGCCCTGGGGAGGGTGCGCGGATGGACTCCAGACCCCATGGTCCTCGTCCCAGCTCAAGCCAACACTCTTCCCTCCCCTCCTTGCAGGCCTGGACCACGAACTAGCCTTCGCCAAGATCATCGTGGAGCTGCGCCGCCGACACCCGGGACATGTGCTGCCGGACGAGGACCTGCGCTGGGTGTTCGTCAACGCCGGCGGCTGGATGGGCTCCATGTGCCTCCTCCACGCCTCCCTCTCGGAGTACGTGCTGCTCTTCGGCACCGCCGTCGACACCGGCGGACACTCGGGTGAGCTGGGCAGGCAGGGAAGCTCCCTCACCGGATTCTCTGGGGGCCCCCGAAGATTTAGTGATTTAGGCTTAGCTTCCTCATATAATCATGCTATGCTATTAATGCATTATACATTGCTAAAACACATTGTGAGAAGCATTACCCGTGATTCTTTATTTTGCATCAGCTGCATATTAATTAGTATACATAGATATATATTATTGTTTGTATCCCATCTTTATTCTTTTAACAAATAAGTAAAGGCGGCAAACATATCCAACATGCCTTCTTCCTCCTATATTCCCCAGAACAACCACCTGGTGAGGTGGGTTGGGTTGGGCTGCGGGAGAGGGACGGGCCAAAGATCACCGAGCCAGTTTTCAGGTCTAAGGTGGGAGAAAAACTCATGTTATTCCAGTTTCTAGCCTGGTGCCTTAGCCCCTAGACCAAACTGGTCTAATAATGTTAGTTGCGAAGTCGTGTCTGACCCATCACGACCCCATGGACAACGTTCCTCCAGGTCTTCTCTACCATCTTCTGGAGTCCATTTAAGCTCACACCTACTGCTTCAGTGACTCCATTCAGCCACCTCATTCTCTGTCGTCCCCTTCTATTGCCCTCAAACTTTCCCAGCATTAGGCTCTTCTCCAGTGAGTCCTTCTCATTAGGTAGCCAAAGGACTTGAGTTTCAACTTCAGGATCTGGCCTTCTAAAGAGCAGTCGGGGTTGATCTCCTCTAGGACTGACCAGTTTGAACGCCTTGCAGTCCAGGGGACTCGCAGGAGTCTTCTCTAGCACCATAGTTCAAAGGCCTCAATATATACAATATATAATACTGGTCTAATATTCCTATGTTCAATGTCAAGCTCTCTGATGCTAAACCAGAAAGTCATCCTAGCTTAATGAACTTCCTAGGTCAAAGAATGTTTACCCACCAGTGTCCTCAAAACATTTAAGCTGTGTAATTGACACTGTGACATTTTTGAGCTGCTGATCCTCTGTGTAGAATTAAATATGAACAGCTAGAACTTGGAAGCTAGCCTGATCAGTAGAGCAAGAGCATCAGCCAACTGCAAAATGCAGTTCCACCTTCTAGAACAGCGGTTCTCAACCTGTGGGTCGCGACCCCATTTGGGGTCGATCGACCATTTCACGGGGGTCGCCAAACAACGCGATCCGCCAATTTTTTTGTCAGCTGGCGCAGGGGGCGGCACCGCACATGCATGCCGCGCGGGGGGGCGCAGGGGGCGGCGTCGCGCATGCGTGCCGTGCAGGGGGCGGCGTCGCGCATGCGTGCCGTGCAGGGGGCGGCGTCTCATGCGCGCCACCTGCTTATGTATGGGGTCGCCGTATAAAAAGGTTGAGAACCACTGTTCTAGAAAGTAAGCTCCCCTTACACTTCCAATACTTATTATGATCCTTGCATCTAGACCAGTCTGGCAGTTTTCATTAGTTTCCTGCTGATAACTTTTAAGATGTGTTGACCTTCCTCTGAAGTCCACACAGAGTTCACAAGGTTGAGAAATACTGGCTGATACAGTGTTAGAGAATCTTCAGGCGGGGCAGTGACTGCAAGAAAAAAAGCAGACTATTCTTAGCTGATCTGGCCACCTTGCCTGTAACTGGGACTAGTGTCTGGATGCTCTTTCTCTCCACGGCAGGTCGCTATTGGGCTGATATTCATGACACGATCATCTCAGGGACCTTCCGGCAGTGGAAAGAGGGAACGACCAAAAGTGAGATTTATTACCCAGGTGAGTTGCAGATTTGTTACCCAGAGGCTTACATAAGAAGAGGAACCCCATATTGAGATTCTGCCTGTTTGCCTCCTGCAGGGGACTCCGTTGTCCACCGTTCCGGAGAGGTCGCCTCCGTGCAGTGGAGCGCCGGCACGTGGATGGTCGAGTATGGCCGAGGCTTCATCCCCTCCACCCTCACCTTTGCCCTTGCTGACACGATCTTCAGCACTCAGGACTTCCTCACCCTCTTCTACACCATCCAGGTTTATCTCAAGGCCCTGGTCTTGGAGGCTAACACGTACTTCAGCAGCACGAGTCAGTGAGTCTTGCTCCTCTCCCAGCAGATGAATGGGTCACCTCCTCCCCTGCCTCTCATCTTGTATGCTAGTGAACCTGGTGCTTGCATTTCTTGACCAGACATGGTTGGGTGCACAGCACGTGGGTTAGAAAGCAAAGATGGATCCACAGCCTTCCCAGTTGCCCATCCATGCATACCTGAATGTTCTGCTGTAAAGCACGCTGCTCACGAGGTGATGATTCGGTGTCTCGTGGAAAGTAGATATTCAAAGTATTTTGGAGCCACACAGAGAAAGTTCTAGGTGTTAAAATGGAAGGAGTGGTGCCCACGTGCCATGGCATCGATGCATAGTTGACCTAAATAATGACATTTGCATGGTGGCATGTATCTCGTCATTGTGGCGTTTTGCCAGGCACATTTGGAAAGAGAAGTTGCATCCTCTTTGCATGCTTTGGAGATACCTCTTACGATGCCGTCACCAAGCTCTGTTGGTCTATTCTCTGCCTTGTGGGGGCCTCTTGATCCCCACAAAATTAAAAAGCAGCAGAACGTTTTGGATTGAGCCCTTAAAAGCATACATTTACCCTACTGTTTTAAGGCATATAAATACTTCCTTTTCATCCCTTTCTTCCCCGCTTTAATTTCTCAGATGAAAAACGGGTAATTTGGCTGAGCAATATCTGCGTCCACAGGCTGGAAAACAGCCATGCAGGCTGGTGTTTTGGCTGGGCTTCTGGAAAGTTCTTTCCAGCAGACTCGCATTGTTGTTCCCTAGGATCTCGGTGTGTGGGTCTTCCACAGCTCTGTCTTGCTTCTCATCTGGAAAAGTAATTTGGAATTCCAGTTGTGTTTCCTAGGGTCTTATCATGGACCTTTTCTCTCACCACAAATCAACCAACTCTGCTCCTTTGTGGATAATTCATTCATCTTTACATGCTTGCAACATCCAATTTCAGCTAATTTCCTCATCTGTTTTAGATCTTCACATCATTACTTGGGGGTGGGGGAAGAGATTTTTCTGTTCCTGTCATATTGTCCTCCTTCCGTCCTAGAGAGAAAAAAATTCAGAGCCCATAGTGGGTTGGTGATTATTGTCCACATGTACCTCATCTATTTAAGACTAGCCTCTTCAAGTTAATAGGCTAGGTCAGTTAGCTTACTTGTGGAATTTGCACGTTTATAGCCTCTTCACCGTCCATGGCCCAGTTAACTACATCATAGAAACAGCGCTTGTGGTTTTGAAGAGATGCTATTATAATTAAGTAGTAGCTGCCGCGTAGGACAGTTAGCATTTTATAGCTGCCTTTTGTGACTGGTTCTTCCTGTATGTCTTAATGCCTCGAGCGCCAATAACCAAAATGTCTTTTGCAGCCATCCATTTTTCCAAAATAGATTGTAGACATTCTCAAGATCTCATCCATTTTGGTCCTGTAATAATGCAGAACCGCCATCCATCACCCAGACTATGCGCCTTATTCTCTTGAGCTATGCACGTGTGTGTGTGTGTGTGTGTATGTGTGTGTTTATATATTGTTCCCTGGAAGAAAGGGCTGGTGATCCAGTGTGGCTGAACCTGCTTGACTCAAAAATGGACCTTCTAGAGTGGCAGAAATGGCCGAACTCTGAATGTTCCGTTCTTTAGATTGACATTCAAGCACGGTTGTTTCAGTAGAACAAACCAAGGCACCTCTTTTCCCTTCTCTCAGAATATCCCCAAAATTGCAATCACCCCAAGAGGGGTGTTGTCATTACCCAACCATGAAGCTTCCTTTCTTCATGTCCAGTATTATTAACCAGAAGATCCTGTTTCTGTGGCATGGTAATTAAGCTTATAGTATTAGTGGTCCGTTCTGGGCTATCCCCGGTTCCAGAATGCGCATGAGAGATCTTCGTCCTGAATGCTTCCTTCTTTGGAGCATTCAGTCTTCTGAAAGAATCCACCATCCTCCTCAGAATGCTCTGAGGTTGCTGGATTGTCAAAACTTGGCTCATTTTTGGCCCTCATTATTTATCAGCATCAGGGCTCCCAATCTGGATCCTTTTTTTCCTCAGCTTAATTTTGCCTAGATCAGTGGTTCTCAACCTTTTTAATGCCGCGACCCCCCCCCCCCCCGAGCGGTCGTAAGTCGAGGACTACTCAACCGGTCGTAAGTCGAGGACTACTCAACTGGTGCAGCACTGTTTGCAGAATGGGACTTTTGGCGGGCTCAGCAGGGCAGAGACAGCCTGGACAATTTCTATTGGCTTTTGAAAGCCAATAGAATTAGACTCTATTCAAGAGAATCTATTCTATTGGCTTTCAAAAGCCAATAGAATAAAAGGGAGTAGCACAGCTAAGGAAAAGGGGGGGGAAATGGTAGGCTGCGTTGTTTGGCGACCCCCGTGAAATGGTCGTTCGACCCCAAATGGGGTCCCGACCCACAGGTTGAGAACCACTGGCCTAGATGAAAGAGCCAACACTTCCCCTGGAAAAGGGAGGCTTATCCTTTCTTGTGTGTTGTTGAAATCCTTCCTCCCTTTCATCTTTTGGTTTTGTCTTTTTTTTTTTTCTTTCTAAAAGATGGACAGAATTTTATATGTAGAAAGTGCTGGTAGATGGCAATAATCATTTGTCTTGGCCAGGGGTAGGCAACCTCGGCTCTTTTAGGACTCATGGACTTCTGACTTAGGAATTCTGGGAGTTGAAGTCCATGAGTCCTAAAAGAGGTTGCCTGCCCCTGGTCTTGGCCAACCCCAATGTAGTTGGGGAGAGGGTCTTTGATTACTCCTTGCAGCAGTCATGGAAAGTCTCTTGAACTACGCTTCACCTGACACCACCACCACCCCCCTCCCCAGGGCTGCTGCAAGGAAGACTGGCATAGTCCAGTAGCCAGATTTGATGGATTGTGTTGGCTGGCAAGTTGCCTCTAGCCATGAGAGATCCCGAATTCCTCCCTGCATGGGACTTTACCAATTTCTGGGGGGGAGGGGTTCTGGGAGTTGATAAATCTTACAGTTTTAAGGGCACATTTTTTTCCCTTTCCTCCCACACTGAGTTCAAGCTGTCCTTTGTTCAGATCAGATGAGGTACAGTGACGCATTGCAGAAAATTTGCCCAGCACCAAAGCCTCCGTGCCTCTCCTTCCGTTGACCGTTGTCTCTGAAGCAATCCTTCAGGGAGGCTGGCAGCTAGTTGGCATGAATAGGCCAGGATTTGCAGTCTGTTGGAACCATCGGTCAAATATATAGCATGTCTCTGGTTTCTGTATCTCAGTTACTGCAAATGTATCATGTCTGATGTTCATGAACAAGTGTTTTGAGAATTAGTGTGGGTGTGTGATTGTTATACTTTGACTAAAAAAAAAAAGAATACAATGGACTGTGATTAAACTTGGCTTTGTGTCTCTGCTTTGAACACTGTTGCAAAATAGACATTTACAAACAACGCCCAGGCACACATTGTTCTGTGTGAATTCTCTGCAGGGTTGGGCAGGCAGAGATTCAGGCGCATTTGACCCAGATTAAAAGGAACGGTTGCTGGAATTGGGTATGTCTAGTTTAACGAAGAGAAGGACGAGGGGGGACCTGATAGCAGTGTTCCAATATCTCAGGGGCTGCCACAAAGAAGAGAGAGTCAAGCTATTCTCCAAAGCACCTGGAGGCAGGACAAGAAGCAACAGCTGGAAACTAATCTAGGAGAGAAGCAACCTAGAACTAAGGAGAAACCTCCTGACAGTTAGAACAATTAACCAGTGGAACAACCTGCCTCCAGAAGCGGTGAATGCTCCAACACTGGAAGTTTTTAAGGAGAGACTGGACAGCCATTTGTCCGAAATGGTATAGAGTTTCCTGCCTGAGCAGGAAGTTGGACTAGATGACCTCCAAGGTCCCTTCCAACTTTGTTATTATTATTACTACTACTACTACTAGATGATGGTTCAGCATTTAAAGACGCCGGGTTCGAAACCCATGCACTGTGCAACAGGGCAAGCTCCTGTTCCTTGCTCCATCTCCTGCCCACCTAACAGTTGGAAAGCATTTAAATGCAAGTAGATAAATAAGTTCCACTTCGGTGGGAAGGTAAGTGTGTTCCATGCTCCTTTGTTGTATAGCCATGCTGGCCATATGTAGCATCTTCGGACAATTCTGGCTCCCTCAGCCAAGAAACAGAGCTGAGAACCACTTCCCCTAGAGCCAGACGCTACTGGACAGAGGAAACCTTTCCCTTTATCCAATTATTAAAGAAGAGTTAGAGCCGTGATATCAGAAATTTAGTTATCGCCCATCACTTGCTCAGAGTTTGCATTGGGTAAAATTCTGTCTATGAAGACTCGCACTATTAAAGCCCTTGTTGATTCCTTGGAATGCCATTTCCACTTTATGCCGTACAGACTCTGTTCCCCTTTGGGTGATAGTTCTCTTGTACTGACTAGAGAACTGAGGGAAGTCCATTAAACTCTCAGCGTTCATAAAAGAATCAACTATTCTATCCCCACGACATATCTCAAAGTAACCTGTGTAGGCCCTTTTCCAGCTTTTCAGAAAACAGGCAGCTCATTTTGAGATGTTTGCCTATCAGAGTAATGGAATAATAAAGTTGGAAGGGATCCTGCAGGTCTTCTAGTCCAGCTCCCTGCTCAAGCAGGAGACCCTGTATCATTCCGGACAAATTTCTTCTTAGAAATCTCAAGTGATGGAGCACCCACAACTTCTGAAAGTAAGCCATTTCCACTGCTTAACAGAATAATAGTTACTCTACTATACATTATATCGCAAACTGGGTGACTTTGGGCCAATTCGTCCTTCTCAGCCCACTCCACCTCACAGGGTGGTGTTTATGGGAAAAATAGGAGGAGGAAGAACTGTTAAATGTGTTCACTTCCTTGAGTTATTTACTTACATAATAAAGGCAGGATATAAATAAACTGAAAACAGAACAAGAACGGGGAGACACTTGGACTTTCAGTTTTGCGCCATAGCGCATGGCCGAGGGATTGCAGAGCTTCGCACCCCAAGGCTAGTTTTGCCCTGCCAAGGGTCCTTAAATGGGTCTAAAGTCGCCCTGGAGAGGCAACAAAGAAAGAGGCGCCCCAATGATCGCAGAACGACAGCGGTCCAGTTCAATCTGAGGGAAAACCCGACAAGAAAGGCTGGCCACACCTCAGTGACCAGCCCAAGCTACTTGTAACTGAAGTCCAAAGGCACTAACGAGAACAACAGTGAACAGCGTACTTGAAACTGGGCGAGGATTTCAATCTTCTCCTATTTTGTATCTGATTTCCTGGAAAAGATTCCCAAGAAGCAAAAAACCCTCCCAAAGTTAGAAGGGAGGGGACTATACTCCCACCCTCCCATAGACGGAAGTGGTGAATTAAATTCTTACAGGGAACAAAAATATATTAAAATGAGGTTTAAAAATACTACAGTCTGGATAAATTTGAAAACTAAGAAAACTTAAAATTCCATACCCGGAAAAGTATTGATGAAATTATAAATAGTAATAACGCTTTGCTTTAAAAGCTGGAAAATGAACAGCTATTGACACCTAGTGGAGGATTAGAGATAACTATAGCTGCATTGACTCAGAATTTGGCAAGATGCCCAGAAACAGCAAAAAACAGCTGGGAACACAGTATTGGGCTATCTACCAGAGAGTGAAATTATATATGTTTAGAAACTGCTGATCTTCTGATCTTAAGTTTAAGAACAGTTTGCAGAGAAAGAAAAACATTGATCTTTGGTTAATCTTCTAAAGGGGAAATTACTGGAAAGCTTTCAGGTGGTTAAACACTTTTGACTGAAATCTTGGCTGGCTGATAATTATAAGACCCCTGAAAAGAAGAACTGTTACAAAATGCTGTTTTCAGTGGTACTGATAATTGGAAATGTATTGGATTATAAAAACCATATATAGAGATGAGAACTACACAAGATTTGGTTGTTTGGATTTTAAGATGGGCTGGTTTGATAAAGCTAATTGAAGAGACTATGGTACCGGTGAAAAACTACTTAGAGAAGGGAGACAAAATGGATGTTGTATATTTATCTAAAAATGACAGAAACCACACCTAGCACCTGCTGAAGACCCCAGCATGGAACATAAAAGATCTGCAGGAACACTGACTCAAGACAAAGCAAATATATTCCAGGACAAAATATATGCAATGCTGTGACAGATTCAAATGGCAATTGTCTTAAATCATGATGAGATTAAAAGCAACTTTGATAACATAAATGAACATATCTCTAACCTAAATTCACAATTAAACAAAAAATGACGATAAAGAATGAACAAATAAATCGGACAATAGAATACAAATCAGAGGAAAATGACTTAAATATGGTGTCAATGCTGCAACAATTCTGGCTGAAGCCATTTCTGGTTCGTTTTCGGTTGCCACAGTACTGGGAGGGTGGATGAGTGGTTTTAAGGTTAGACTAAACAATAAATTGTCCCGTGGGAACCAAGATCATTGCTGCTTGGGTTTTGGTGGGCTGAGCCTTCCATTAAAAAACCCGCCAAAGTAGTTTATTGGGGAATGTGATTACTGACATCGTGCTAGGGTGGGAAGTTCAATTTTGTAACATTGTAATGTTTGGAGGGAATTCCAATCTTGGTTTCACTTTTGACTGTGCAGATACTTTGTAGCCAATAAATATGTTCTTTAAGGAAATCTCTTGCCTTGGAGTTGTTACTGGTCTTATCTATTGGAACCATGACATATGGAAGCTACAAATGAAGAGAAGAACAACTTAATACAAACAAAACAAAATCCGCAAAATTTTTCTACAACAAAGTAAATAAAAAACATGTTTTACTTTCCAGGACTTCAAAACAAACTTGAGGACACACAAAAAAAAGATTTAATAAAATGGATGAAAGAGCTGTCAGGAGAATCATTAAAGCATGGGAGACAAAAAACGAATATTCTACTTAATTTATCTTTTTTATCCCCAACAGTATCTACAAAAATACAACCTGGCAAGCTTCACCTACTGATTTGGAAAGCGACCTGGCAAGCGAAGATTAGAATTAGATGTAAGAGATGTGATTCAACTTACCAGATGGAATACTATATGACTAAACACCTGTTTGAATATGGTTAAAAAATATAAAGTTTGGATATAAAGAAGCCATATAGTAAGATTGCTAGATGGTGTACTCTATAATTAAATGCTTGTTTGAACATGGTTAAAAGAACAGACAAAACTTGGACATAAGGGGCCCTATAGTAAAAGGGATAAGATACATAAGTAGTATAATACTTTTATAATATATGAAATGTAAAAATACTGAGACGGTGTATTTGAATGAAATGTTTGGATATTCAAAGGTAGTGAATTTTGAGAAAATTATGACTGATAAAGAGTGGTTTCAATACTGAGGAGAAATTAAGCTTAAATGAGAATCTTGAAAACAGAACATATAATCTTTCTTATATATAAATAAAAATGTAAATGTTCGTTTGTTCAAAATCTTAAATCTCCGAAAGTTCTTCACCGATTGCTTTGAAATTTTGACACAACATTGCATTTGAATACGCGCGTGTTTTTATATACCTATGTTATATAGATGTCACACGTGTGACAGGTAAAAACAGGCATTTTTGAAAAATAGCACCATCTGTTGGACATAATCTCTATATCTGCACACACAATGGAACAACAAAAAATATTGTATACCCACAAGCATTGTGAAATTAAACATATTACAAACGTGCGCTTTCTCCTTTCTTTTCCATTTAACCACACTGAGCCACAGCAACGTGTGGCTGGGTACAGCTAGTGACTTAATAAGATGACTTCTATAAATACAATTGAAACATAAGCTGATTAGAAAAGATGTTATATTTTGATGTTATTGTTATATGTACAAATACTAGAAAAATGTTTATACCCAACTCTGTATGTATTGAAAGTATTAAGGATTGTTTGTTTAATGTAGACAAAAGGAGAATAATTACTGGAAGAAGAGAGGATCAAGGGAATATATTATCAACTAACGTATTGATCAGTTATAGAAATTAATTATTATTGATTGTTTTAAATATATAAACTCATACAACACATTGTTATAAGCACTAAAGATTGTTATTGTAAAAAATAAAAATAAAATATATTTTAAAAAAAAGAATGGGGAGAGACTTACAGAACAGAATTAAAGAATAACATAGTTAGAAGGGACCTTGGAGGCAAGCTATTCCAGTGATTAATTGTTCCAACTGATAGGAAATTTCTCAATTTTCATTCTCTTCTGGGGATATAAAAATCTTCCTCTTTGAATGGTGTTGAAGGAAAAGTCTTCATCATGGTTCAGTCCATGCTGGAAATAAACAACATGGCGACTGCTTTAGAAAGAAGGTTGCAGTTTATTGAAGAGGAGAGCCAGACAGAAAGATGGCTCTGGAAGTAAAAAAGAAAGCACATGTAGGGAGTGGGTTTTTATACCCTCTGGAGTCTTTTGTTTGGAGTTGTTTCCTGTTCCTGTTTGAGGCTTTGTATTTCCTGTGTCATGTATTCTGACCTGAGTCTGGGTGTGCCCTTTGACATCTATGAGTTAATCCTATTATGTCCTGTCTTTGACTTTGGGTGGGGTATGTAGATTTTAGGTATCTTTGTCTTCTTAATCTCCTAACTGGGGGCCTCCAACCTTCCTGGATTATTTACATCTGCATTTGTACAGAGCAGGTTTCTGCTTGGGGGAGGGAGACCTGGGGCTATTAAGAAAACTGGGCATGCTTTTCTGCCTCTTTAAGATCCTTTGAGGAAATAAATTTTTCTGCCCTTTTAATATTTCCTTCTCTGGGTGGCTGACTTCCCACAATGGAAAATGTTATAGGATCATTGCATCACTTATCTGCCCAGACCAGTGGTGGGGGAGAAGGTGTTGATCTTCCAAAATTTAAAGGCAACCGCTTCTGACAAGTGAAAATTGCCCTGGCACCAAAGTCCAAAGTTTCATTGCCTTTACCTGTGAAAATAACCTCATGTTCTCCTGCACAAAGCAGAATGTACTAAGTAGTGCTTGACATAAGTCTGTAATTAAGCACATCATTTCGGTCATAAATTGCCTTGAGGTAAGATGGGCAGCCTAGAAGTTCTATAAATAAATAAAACAATGGTCCTAAAGTCAGTCAGCATTGTAGAAAGCCCCCCCCCTTCCCAGAATAAAATACTCTTTATTTTTAATATTAAAAAGAGGCAGAATAGAATATTTTCCCTAGAGGAGAAGAGGAGAGACATTTTAAAGGCAGAACACAGCCCCAGTCTTCCTGCTATAGGAAAACATCTTCAAGCAGAAACCTAAAGAGGCTAGTCCAGTGGTGGCGAACCTTGGCTCTTTTAGGACTCCTGGACTTCAACTCCCAGAATTCCTGAGCCAGCCACGCTGAGGGGAAAGGGAGAGGTTTCCAAGCTGAGCCATGCTGGCTCGGGAATTCTGGGAGTTGAAGTCCACGAGTCATAAAAGAGCCAAGGTTGCTTACCCCTGGCCTAGGAGGCTTAGAACAGAAGGACTTAGCTAGTCTTTTGGAATGGAGATGTTGTGTCCATTCAGAAAACTGGGCCACTCTATTCATACCAAAAAAAGAGCAGCCAGAAACTCCAGATAAGCGACACAATAGACAAGCTAACAGGATTAACATCTAGGATTTGCATTTCCCCACTCACCTGAAGAACCACCATGACCCCATAGGAATCTGGCAACAGCCATTAAAATACGGAATTGGGTATATCTAGTTTAATGAAAAGAAGGACTAGCGGTAACATGATAGCAGTGTTCCAATATCTGAGGGTCTGCCGCAAAGAAGAGGGGGTCCACCTGTTCTCCAGAGCACCAGAAGGCAGGACTAGAAGGAACAGGTGGTAACTAATCAAGGAGAGAAGCAACCTAGAACTAAGGAATAGCCCTACGTCTCCCTCCCCAAGCAGAAACCAGCTCTGTACAAATGCAGATGTAAATAATCCAAGAAGGTTGCAGGCCCCCAGCTAGGAGATTAAGAAGACAAAAAGATCTAAAATCTACATGCCCCACCCAAAGTCTAAAGTCATAATAGGATTAACTCACAAATGCCAATGGGCACACCCAGACTCAGGTTAGAATACATGATACGGGAAACATAAAGTCTCAAACAGGAACAGGAAACAACTCCAAACAGAAGGCTTCAGAGGGTATAAAAAACCACTCCCTACATGTGCTCTCTCTTTTTCTTCCAGAGCCATCTTTCTGTCTGGCTCTCCAAAAGACTGCAACCTTCTTTCTAAAGTAGTCGCCATGTTGTTTATTCCCAGCTTGGACTGAACCATGGTGAAGACTTTTCCTTCAACAGAACCAGACCGGATTTTTCTTCCAACATCATGTGACCAGACCCACTTTTTATTTATTTAATTTATTTATTCATATCCCACCTATTTTATGACCTTTCGTGCCACAGTCAAACAAATCCATTGTTCACCATGAATGAACATGTTTTTTTTACCAGAAACAGAAGTTTGCAGTAAAAACATCATAAGGCCCATTCACATGACCGTGAGGTGCCACAAATGGCCATAAATACAGGCTACTTGCCGAGTCTCAAGATGCGGTCATGTCCCCTGGTGTGTTTGTGTGTTTGTGTGTGTGTGTGTGTGGACATTGGAACTTCAAAACTGCATCATAAGTCCCATTTGGGGGGTCTGTTGTACCTCTGAATGGTCACTAAGCAACCAGTCATAAGTTGAGGACTACCTGTAGCTTATTCTGCCTTTCTGCAGTACTGTAATCACTGTAAATTTTCTCATGCTGATCTACTGCCTGTTCTTTCCAAAGCCCACCAGGGGGCAGCAGCCACCCACTTTTGCACAAATGGAGCATTCATAGATAGATAGATAGATAGATAGATAGATAGATAGATAGATAGATAGATAGATAGATAGATAGATAGATAGATCTTTATTGTCATTTTTTACTGTGGGTACACTGGCACACATTAAAAATGAAATTGCTTGCTTTCAAAAGTACACATACATAATACACATATAAACATGCTATATACAACTTATGTATATACCTACACCCTTATATATAAGTATTAATCACTGTTAATATTAAATACTAATATGTAAATATTAATAGAGCTTAAGTTGCGAGTAGCAAGCATGCCCACTCTACTTCCTGGGTAGCCATCGTAAAACCTAATGCAGTGATGGTGAACCTTTTAGAGACCGAGTGCCCAAACTGCAACCCAAAATCCAGTTATGTATCGTCGGGTGCCGGGTGGGCGTGGCCCATTGGGTGGGCGTGGCTGCAGTAGTAACGGCAGACTGGGTGGGACTAAAAAGTTCAATCAATCAATTCCAACTTTGCGAGATCTTTTTTTTCCCTGCGAGAAGTTGAAATTGATTGATTGATTGAACCCTTTTTTTTTTTTTTTTTTGCACATGGAGGTGGAGGCCTAAAGCGGAAAAGTTTTATAAAACCCAGCCTAGGACTGGGGCGATGGCGCACGTGCCCACAGAGAGGGCTCTGAGTGCCACCTGTGGCATGCGTGCCACAGGTTCACCACCACGGACCTGGGAGGTAAAGACCACATCTTCAAGACCAGGGGTGACATGATAGTAGTGTCTCAATATTTGAAGGGCTGCCACAAAGAGCAGGTTAGCCTATTCTCAAAAACATCACAGTGCAAGACAAGAAGCAATGGATGAAAACTAATCAAGGAGAGAAGCAACCTAGAACTAAGGAGAAATTTCCTAACAGAACAATTAAGCAGGGAAGAGATTACCTCTAGAAGTTGTGGATGCTTTATCATTGGAGGCTTCCAAGAAGAGATTGGACAACTATTTGCCCATAATGGAATAGCGTCTCCTGCTGAGCAGGGGGCTGGACTAAAGGACCTCCAAGGTCCCAGTTATGCTATTTGAGTGGAGTTAGGATACCAGCTAAACAAGCTCATTTATTATCACAGGAGCTCTCATGCTGACATCTTTTCAACAGAAGCACCAACTCTTTGCCAAAGATGGAAAAGACAAAACCGAGAATTTCAGAAAAGGTCCATTTGGCAGCTGTTTTAAAGCAATCTCCTTGTCAAGGCTGACCAACTCAGGAT